GTTTCAATTATATACTCTGTAATGATACTATAATGTTGAAAGTCACACCAAGCCCCCCGACGTTTCCGCCGTCTGGTTCAGGGGTGTGACAATACAAGTCGTTTTGAAAAGCGTCAACTAAAAAGTTGGTGAGTTCATAAACATATTTGTAAGAAAGCTTTGTAATATCTTCGTTCATAGTCAGTTGTAAAACTTCAGAAAATCCAATATTTTCTTATAAAAGTAGTTTGTGACTCGTTCCAAAATCATGTATAATTGCATGCATGTTCTTTGGTTTTCCTTTGTTTGTTTCTGAAAAGAAAGTGTTCCAACCACTTGGGTTGTGGTGACTTGGTAAGGCATGTGGAAGATATGGTGGATAACCTATTGACCCATGTTCAAATCCTGGCACCACTCAGCCCTTGTGGCCATGGAGGTTCGCCTGCAGTGACTCCAGGGCATGAGGCAAAACCTCATGTTTGCAGCGGGGGATTAGTCGGTACGCGAAAGCTGGCCCGGAAACCCTCGTTAGGGAAGTTCCCTTTCCAAAAAAAAGAAAGTGTTCCCAGAAAATCCTATATTTTCTGTATATGTTGTGGTCTTAAAACCCTAAGACCGAAGTTATGAAATCAGTTTACAAAATATACAAAACTTAGTTTTGTATTTTATAAAACTAATGCAGTGTATATTCCTCGTAATTCCAATGTTAATAGATCCATACTCCATGTGAGTCGTTACAACCATATTAATATGACGAGAACGCCTGTCCTGACGTTCTTCAGGCGTCAACTACTATAAAAGATATTTGTCACCTTGGACTGGTCTGTCTAGTTGTAGCGAACATCACAGGTGTAGGGTGTCAACCCCGTATAGATCTATACATAATTACCCCGCTCTCCTGGAGACTCTGGTTATAACTACATGACCTTACAATGTATGCTAGGTAGGTACGACGAAGGAAAAATCTCACAAGAGCCTTAACGAAATTTACGCGAGTTTTGACTCCCATTATGGAATAATGCAAATAATGTTTTCTTGTGTAAAGTTATGACTGCAGCTTTATGACATGCGTTTTACAGCTTTATGACATACACCTTATCACTTGTATTTCTGAAAGTTTTATGATGGACAGTTTATGACATGCAAATATTTCTGTCATAAAAACTCTGTTTTGTATATCGACTTAATAAAATTATTTATATTGATAATTATAAATAATCACTAATAGTTTGTCAACTTGAAATAGGTTATGAATATGACATAATGTTCTAATTTTAAAACCCTTGAAATGGTATCAGAGCTAAGGCACGGGTCGATGTGTTCGACGGGGACGTCGAACCCTATAATGGGGGGTGAAGGTGGGTTGCACCTGATCCTACATCGGCTTGGAAGGAGAACAAAACATTTCCTCATAAGGGGTGTGTATACCTTCCTTGTCACAACGCGTTTTAAAGTCGTGAGGGCAGCAGATCCCATAAGAACTCTGCAGTTAAGCGTATTCGGGCGAGAACAATCCAGGGATGGGTGACCCCCTGGGAAGTTTTCGCACCGGAAGCCCAAAGCGGGCAATATTGTGATACATGCCAGAGGGGGATGTTACAGTCATTGTTTGTATGCACGTATATGTATTACGATATATGATATTTTGGAAAACTCACTAATCTTCGTGCTTAACCAGTTGAATATAAATATTTTTTAGAAACTTCAAATGATTCGTAAGAAGGGCAAGGCTCGGTTGTACACATGTGCATTCACAACATGTTTCCGCACAATGTAATAATACTCTAATATATTTTAATAAATAAAAATGAGAAATTTGGGTTGAAAATCGGAACGTTATAATAATAGGCATCATTGTCATCATTATTTGTATACCAAAATCCGATCCATTATTTTGGAAATGAAAACGAATTTGATTAGCATGTAGCCTTGATTAGGAAGCCACCAAGTTAACCGATTCATAAAAGTTGATATCATAGGTTAAATTCATATCATAACATGTGTAATATGGCATCACATAATACATAACACAGTAGATTTTTTTTTTGTCCTCCACTAAAACCATGTACTCTAAAAAACTATACAAACTTATTTTTCAATAACAAAATGGTGCATTATGATAGAGACTGATAGTAAACTCTAAATCAAATATAAAGAGAAAATAAACCACTGAGTTCATGTTTGAAATACAAATCCTTAATGTAGGAGTGTCTGAAATGTATGAGGAGTCAATCCGGAATATATATTTTCTTCAAAAAATAATATTTTGGATTACTTAATGTCATGTATCAACGATTTTCTAATAGTCCGATACAAAATAGGGTACTCCGAAAAACGTCATTTAAGACTTTATGATAATTTTTTCTAATTCGTCAAAAGTGGGTTATTTCAAATTATTTTTTTTCATTCTTATTGATCATTTTTTAGACCATCCCTTCTTCTTACATGGTACCTTATTTGGCTATTATAGCACGTTGTAGGCCCAGTTAACTTGGGATGTTGTCTTTTTGTTACTTCCGGTTCCTGTCACAACTTGAAAGTTTAGTTGCCTATCCGTCTCCACCTCTGGCAATAAATCTATCTCATTTTATCAAAGGAATTGAGTTTCGCTTATTTCTTATAAGTCACTCGATCTTCATTTGTTCTCTTCTCCCTTTCGGAGAGATCTTAACTCTATGATTCAATTCTTTATTATATTCTCGAATTTAACTTTATCAATTAACCGAGGATTCGATCGAATAAGAGAGAGCGAAAGACCTTCCGCGTACGAGCTCTTCAAACCTTGTCCTATCGAAGTTGTGTTGATACTCGTGGAAGTCTAAACGATTTTAAAGAAAAATCATATACGAAACAGAAAAGATATTTTGGGGTTTAAGTCCATAATTTGTGAATATCCTTTTCTTATATTTTAATATCCTTCTTATATTCTGAATATTTTGGGGTTTAGCCACTCATAAATTTATTTTACCTTTAATTTTTTCTTTTGTATAAGTAATCGAAAATCTTAAATATTATTATTACTTCATTGCCAGCAAATTAATAACAAGTTCATGATACAATACATGCCATGAACGATGAGCTCATAATTCAGGGTGCATACATATTGTTTTACATTAAACTCAATGTGTTCTTTTTTCAACGTCTCAATTTTCTTCGTCCATTTTTTATGTACTCAATGAAATTGGAATTTTAATAACATGACTATTACTAATTATCGTTAAAACTCCCATTTGTGTAATAACAATAAATAAAGTTAACTTAAATACTCCTATAACACACGTCTAGCCTAATTTGTTTTAATATTAGGTACACTCCCCCTTATTCTTCTATTGGCAACATATTAATCAAAGTGCATAAATGCCATGAACTCGATATTCAACGTGCATATGGCTTCACATGAAAGTCAATGTGTAGTACCTTTTTCTTTTTCCTCGTCCCAATTTTCTTCACCCATTTTTCATAGAGTCAAAGGAATTGTAATAATATAAAATATAAATGATACTAATGTAGTACTAAAAGCCCCATTTGATCATTCATATAACAACAACAATAAATACAGGTCAAATTAAAATATTTTTTTTAGCACACGTCTCGACTAATTATTTATATTAGGTACTCTCCCTTTAACAAAATTAAATGTTTTTATTTAGAATACATATAATTCATATGGACAAAACTACAAATTTGGTCCTTGTGGTTTGCAAATTTTTTTTGGATGGGGTCCAAAAAGTTTCCAGCTTGCACTGCAGGTCCAAAATCAAAGTTTTTCATTGTTTTTGGTCCAAAAAAACTTGAAAAGTCGATTTTACCCTTTTTCATTTCTTTTTTCTTTTTTCTTTATTTATTTTGGTATTTAAATAATTACAAATAGAAAATAAAATAAACCCATTGAGAAAATATCTATTTGTGTGTGTGTCTATGTGAGAGAGAGAGAGGGTGGGGGGTTGTGGGGTTTATTTTATTTTCTATTTTTAATTATTTAAATACCAAAATAAATAAAGAAAATAGAAAAAATGAATGAAAAAGGGTAAAATCGACTTTTCAAGTTTTTTTTGGACAAAAAACAATGAAAAACCTTGATTTTGGACCTAGAAACTTTTTGGACCCCATCCAAAGGTTTTTGCAAATCACAAGGACCAAATTTACAGTTTTATCAATTCAGATGTATAAAACAACATAAGTTTGAAATAATCAAAATCATAAAATTTATTAACTTACCAATTTATGTAGTTATGTACCATTTTGTTACTAGAAATTGCTATATTTATGCATCCATAAATTTATAAGTGATCAACTTTGTAAAATTAATTGACAAAAACATTTCAACATTGTTCTATATATCATTAAGAAGCTCTTTATTTTATAAATTGATAAAAACATATATTTCCATTATATAAATGTGTCATTAACCTTGTTCATGTTCCTTTATAAAGCGTAATGAAAAATTAGAATGTCACACGTATATTCTTTTCTGTAACTTTTAGTAACATCAATTTTTGTTAAAACTTTCGTAAATATTTTAATTTTATTCTTCAATAACGACAGAGTATGTATTTTAATATAAGATGTCTCTATACTAACTTATGTATTTACTACCAAAAAAAAGTAATACATCCATTTTGAGTATATGAAAATCGTGTACGAAAGTCACCTAATATAATTTTATTTTCTAAACATATGTTTTAATACCCAGTTATGAAAATTGTGTGATTATGACAGTAAAGATTTCAAAATGTTGATTTTAAAGTATATATGTATATAAAATAACATTTATATGCATATGTTTATTTAATTTACGGATTTACCCCTAATTTTAACATTAAATTACTATTGGATAATCTTCAAATGGACGGATAAGATTTAAAATCAAGAATTTAAATCCTTGGATCGCGGAATAGGATATCGTATCCCACGATAGGCTGAAAAGAAGTTGAAATCACACAATTCCTTCACTATATATCCCTCAACTCAAAGTCTACTTCAAATCCCACCATCATCAACTCTTTTTAGCATCCACTAACATGGCGTTGATCAGCCATTCGCCGCCGTTCTTCTTCTTCATCCTTCTCACATTAACATCTCTGTTTTTACAATCGTACCCAGTTCATTCATTCAATTGCGCATCGGAGAAGTTCACAAACAAGAAAATCTATTCAAATTGCACCGATCTACCCACCCTGAATTCTACCCTCCATTGGACTTACACCCCACAAAACTCCTCCCTCTCCGTCGCATTCATCGCACCTCCGGCGACACCGAACGGCTGGATCGCATGGGCAATCAACCCCACCGGGACCGGCATGATAGGGAGTCAAGCGCTCATTGCCTTCAAGAACTCCAGCAGCTCAATGGTCGTGAAGACCTACAACATTACCACGTACGCCTCCATCGTTGAAGGGAAGATCTCGTTCGAGGTTCTGGAGTCTAGGGCGGAACATTCTGATGGAGTAATGAAGATTTTCGCGACAGTGAAGTTGCCGGAGAAGATGTCGGAAGTGAACCATGTGTGGCAGGTTGGGGGTTCGGTTAAAGACGGAGTTCCGGTGAAACATGGGTTTTTGCCGGCGAATATGAAGGCAATGGGTAAGCTGCAACTGGAAGGGAAGGCACAAAGTAATGGTACCACCGCCGGTAGTCCCGCCGTTGCTCCGAGCACTAGTTCGTCTTCCGGTATCACCGGAATTTACGTGATTCCTATCTTTTTTTCATGTTTATTTGGATTTTTCTAAGTATAGGAAAATATAAAACTTGAACGTGGTATTTAATATTTTAGGTTTATTACGTCTTATTTTTGTAATTCATAAGAAATTGGAAAAAATCACTTCCTTCCAAAGTTCCAATATCGTTCTATATATAAGTATTGAGAAGAAAATACGAAATTGTTTCTCATTTTGTTAATCTTCTAATTGTTTTAGATTTTTTATACTATAATATTAAACGTCTTCTTAATTTACGAGTTTATGCAAAAACACCTTCTTGCATGGGGAGAATTCAATTTTGTAAAATAATGTTATTATATTATATCATGAATAACCTTTTATGGATAACTATAGAGTTCAATTTTGAGAAAGGATTATATACTACCGAAAACGAAAAGACTTAGGCTAAACGGTTGCCTACGAAAATTTGGTGTAACATAGGGTGTGGTGATAATGTGATATTTTTGTCTACCAAAATTTTTTTTTTTCTGATTTTAAAATGATATAATATTTGCTATCCAAATTAAAAACATAAATATTAATTAAAATAACATAATATTTCATTAAATTAAAAAAATATTACATTTAATTATAAAAAACGTAACATGCTTGAAGAGTTGTAAATGCTCATTGATTGAGAATAAATTTTTGATAAGGTGATTGAAACTTATTCGTGATAATTTTTTTTGAAATAAACATATCATGTTTGAAGAGTTGTATAATGTACATTAATAAAAATACACATGAATTTGCCGGGTAAAAGTCACACATGCCAAACTAATGTGTGTAGGCTTATTGTACTGTGAGCTAATCTAAAAATACCTTGGAGTAATGAGAAGTGGTATAGATTTGGTAAATAATTTTGGATAGAAGTTAATGTGTTTTAATGGGCGGTGAGAACTCACCGTTGAAAATCGCTGCTGGCAAAAAAAATTACGATCAGGGGGCGGTGCTTGCTGCCGGCAACACCCGCCACGTCTGCATACCGACAGTTACCCACAACCTTATAGTCTAATAGTATCGAAAATTACGAAATAACTTATAGTCTGATAGTATCAGAAATTAATATAAAGATGTTTAGCGGTTCTAAAAAGATTCCATTGAAAAGGATAATTCCTTTTTGCAAAATTAGAATAGATCGCATTTTCTTCAATCTTTTCATAACTATATCATGGTGAAAGATAATAACTATTTGGTGGACTATTAATCAAAATGTTAAAACTTGTTTGTTGTTTGTTATAGTTTAATAAATTATATTCTCAATTTTTAATTTTTGTGGCAAAGGCAAGAGATAAGTTATATTTTAAATTTAATTGTTATAAGAATTTTTTTTTTGAAATGTTATAATCATAAAATCCAATAACAGTTTTACACGATTGCCTTTAAGACAATAATTGAAGTATTGATTGTTTATGTAACATAAACCTTTTAGATAATTATTTAAAATTTTGAATGTTTTTTTTTTTGGAACGGCAGAATGAAATACTATTTGAGAGGGAAGTATCTATGGAAAAAGTTATTCCACCTTCTACTAGGTGCGTTTCGTATGCACAAGCACATTCCAATGGTCCTGTTTTAACTTTTCTAAAGATGCAATTCGTGCCCCTCATTGTTCTCCAACTATCTATATATTTGAAGTAATGCATATTTTCTTGTATATCCCTTGATTCATGTCAAAAATATTATTTTAATCTCAAAGAACTCTATGTTATTCATTAAAAATCGCAAACTCAAAGCCCTCAAATCTTGGTTTATGGGTTATTTGTTATTACTCAAGAGTCGTTCTTACAATTAACAAACAATAGGACCCTAGTTTATATATGTTGATTGTGGGGTCAATTTTATGCCGTATTAAAAACAATTTTTTCCATTAAGTTGATTGCAAAAACCATAAATATATTTACCTTATTTGATTTTTATAGTACATAAGGCCATTTAAAAAATGCTAGTCATTCACAGCATCTAAAGTAAACTTTCATCGAAACTCATAAAGGTAAATTGTAAAACAAAGTATAATTGTTCAAAAAAAAAAGCATTAGGACCACAACTTATATATTGTCTGCATATGAATTCATAAAAAAAGATTAAAGATAAGACTGAAATGCTACTAAATTCTATAGCCACACCTCGATATTGCATCGACATCTAGCCAAAATTGTCCATTTTATATAATCCATGAAAAAAAATACCACAATTGTGTCCACATTGTACACACCATGAAAATCCTTTTCCATGTCTTGATCTGACTTGTTGTATCTCCTGATGTCGAATCGAAAAGTTGCTTTCTAAATTAGATGACGATTGAGACAAATGATTGCTAAGGTTAATTTATGTGTTGGAAATGCTTTAAGTCTTAATGATATAGTATGAAATTGCACATGGCATAACTTTATGAAACAAGTTGATTATATGAGGCATGGATGATGGATGTATGAGGTCACATACCATGTTCATACGGTGCAGTCATCAAACCATCATCATGACACACCACATGCTTCCATTATCGAAGTTTCCAATCAAATGGGTACCAACGGATTTGTTCAAAGACCAAAAAATGCCAACAAAGATTTGTGTGATAAAAAGAATACTAGATTCATATTCTTCATAGGTTCAATTGTCAACATAAGTTATTTGAAATATATTAGAAGAATTAACAATTTTTTATTGATAGAGACCAATAAAAAGGTTGACAAATGGTATTTTACATGCATTTACATCATATTTCTTGAAAAAGAATACAAAACCCTGTTTAAGCGTACAAAAAACCACTTCACGGGTCCGAATCTTACTGTTTTGATCGGCTTGCCAGTCCCCAACGGGAGGAGCATGTTAGATGCATTTATGCTTCTTTTAGGACATCCATTTCATGCATTTAAATCACATTTATGATTTTAATATTATGTATTTTACATATTTTGAGAATTTTACGTGAATTGGTGGAACATTTTGATTTGCATACTTGTTGGATGGTTTTCAGGTGGTTTGAATATTGGAGCAAGGAAACATTGAAGAACATAACTTGAAGCATCAATTCGGTAATTTAGTCTTCATAAAAAAGTTTGTCAATTACCATCACTAGATTTGATCAAAGGCCAAAAAGGGTCAACAAAGATTTATGGGAAAAAAAGAATACTGATTCACATTGTTCATAGGTTCAATTGTCAAACATAAGTGATGCGAAACATATAAGAAGAATTAAGAGAGTCCTTTATCTATAAATGAGAAAAAAAAAAGATCCCAAAACATAAATACTTATAACAACCAACCAGAAAATAATGTACAATATAATGAGCACATGAAACAGGAGAAAATAATCAATGAACCCAAAAACGTTAATAGAACAAAAGGGTGTTTGAATCATGGTGCCAATGGCAATTGCTTAGCATCCCCATTATCATAGGGTTTGGTGGTCTTCACAGACTTCCTTTTCCTTTTTAATACAAGAATCCAAGTAAGTACTTCTAAAACCAAAGCAATAACACCCAAAATAGAGACTATAATTATATAGGCTGATCTCCATTTACTTGCAGGTGACAATATTTGAAGACCCTTGAACACATTCAAGATACCAAGAACAACCACCGCATACCCTGTTCCATGGTGGTAAATATTCCAGTAAAATCTAATTTTGTGCTCCTTTTTTGGCCTCAAGAACAATGCACAAACCTACATAAATCAAACATACACACTAACTGTTTAGAAAAGAACCCAATCTGATCTTCAACTTTAAATCCATGTTTGACATACAGGCATACCTGAAGTGTTGCAAGACAGAACAGAGCAATTCCAATAATCCGGTGACTGGAGTATTTGACACCCTTTGATTCACTTCCGAGCTTCAGTCCAGTCCCCCACCCGGCAACTCCGATGGCGTAAGCAGAAACTTGGCAGAACCCATGGAGATAAAACCATGTCGGATCTGCCGCCGGGAAAATTCTGAGGTATCTAGCGATGATTACCCCCACCGGAAAAAGAATCCCCCAACCCACTGCATTCAGTATCCCATGAATCTGAACAAAAGAAAACAATTCAGCCCACTTATATACATTCTTCATTACTAAATAAGTTGTGTTGATAGAAATAAAGAATGAAAGCATAGTGATGGAAGATCATGTTCTTACGAATTCAAATAAAGGATCATAAATCTATCAAAAAAACTTACATTTCTCTTCTTTGTTTTCGAATTGCCATTTCCTCCTCCTGCAATCTCTCCACTTAACAAATTCAGACTCCCTCTAGAACCCAAATTCGGAGCTAGAAAAGCATGCCTCGCCGGAAACCCACCCGCCTTAACCGAGCCCCCGACTTGCCAAACCTGGTTAATCGTGGTTTGCCCTTTTTCCGGCAATTCGACCGTCGCAAAGATCCTCATCATTCCATCCGATTCCGAATACTCTCCTCTCATATCCGTTACATCAAAAGCCAACTTCCCTTCAACAATAGAACCATACGAACTTATGTTATATGTATTCACTAGAACGGACCCATTGGATGCTTTATAAGCGATCAAAGACTGTGATCCGGCCATCCCGTCGCCGGTGGGATTAATAGCCCAGGAGATCCATCCGTCGGGTGTAGCCGGTTGCGCGATGAAGACGATAGACACAGAATCCTTCGCAGTGTCGAGGAACCAATGGAGGTAAGAACCCAGTTGGGGTAAGTCGCTACATCGGTCATACCGCTTGTTGTTAGTGAATTTCTGTGTGGCGCATGTGGATTGCGCGTGCGAATGCATCAGTAAGAGCGAGATGACTGTAAGAAGAAAAAAGAAGACTGAGGAGGACGCCATTGGAGGAGAGTCGGAGCTCTGGTTGTGAAAGCTGAGTTTCTGTTTAAATGACTCGGGGAAGAGACTAACGTGGCAGCAGGTTATTGGATATGATTATCACACTAAATGTAACGTAATTTGGAAACAGAAAACGTGAAAAGGGGTTATGGGTGTGATGTTTAACGATTAAGCCTAAGGTTACTAATTATAGCACTAATTACCTGTAATTAACCACCTATTAGTAGGATTAAAATTCCTAATC